GGAATAGAATAAGTAGACAGTGAAATAGAATAAGTAGACAGTGGAATAGAATAAGTAGACAGTGGAATAGAATAATAGACAGTGAAATAGAATAAGTAGACAGTGGAATAGAATAAGTAGACAGTGGAATAGAATAAGTAGACAGTGGAATAGAATAAGTAGACAGTGAAAGAGAATAAGTAGACAGTGAAAGAGAATAAGTAGACAGTGGAATATAATAAGTAGACAGTAAAATATAATAAGTAGACAGTGGAATAGAATAAATAGACAGTGAAATAGAATAAGTAGACTGTGGAATATAATAAATAGACTGTGAAATAGAATAAGTAGACTGTGGAATATAATAAGTAGACAGTGGAATAGAATAAATAGACAGTGGAATAGAATAAGTACCCAGTGGAATATAATAAGTAGACAGTGAAATAGAATAAGTAGACAGTGAAAGAGAATAAGTAGACAGTGGAATATAATAAGTAGACAGTGGAATATAATAAGTAGACAGTGGAATATAATAAGTAGACAGTGGAATATAATAAGTAGACAGTGAAAGAGAACAAGTATCCAGTGGAATAGAATAAATAGACAGTGGACTATGGAGTGAAATATGGCTGATGTTAGACTTTGCATGTTTTGATTGACTTTAAAGCTCTTCATGAGTTTCATGTGCAAGAGGGTTTAGGAAATTTACGTATTTTGCTGTCATGAAGTTAAAATATGCTGAATTTATGTAAACGCTCAACATAAGTATACTTTTTTTGTTTCAAATGTTGTTAGAATCTTATTTCTAGTGCTTTACTTGTTTTCTTTTTTGGTTTTTTAAAGCACATTCCTCTGTGTCCTTCTGTTGTTGAAAGCTTATTTTTTGTGTTTGACTTTTTTGAAGCACATTCCTCTGTGTCCTTCTGTTGTTGAAAGCTTATTTTTTGTGTTTGACTTTTTTGAAGCACATTCCTCTGTGTCCTTCTGTTGTTGAAAGCTTATTTTTTGTGTTTGACTTTTTCGAAGCACATTATTCTGTGTCCCCTGTTGATGGAAGCTTATTTCTTGTGTTTGACTTTTTTGAAGCACATTCTTCTGTGTCCTCCCGTTGATGGAGCTTATTTCTTGTGTTTGACTTTTTTGAAGCACATTCTGCTGTGTCCTCCTGTTCATGGAAGCTTATTTCTTGTGTTTCACCTTTTTAAAGCACATTCTTCTGTGTCCTCCAGCTGATGGAAGCCTATCTCTTGTGTTTCATCTTTGTAAAGCACATTCTTCTGTGTCCCTCTGTTGTTGAAAGCTTCTTTCTTCTGTTCCACCTTTTTTTTTAAGCACATTCTTCTGTACTAAGAAATGTATATAAAAGTTAATAAATATTGTACATATCGTTAGCCTAAACAATACTAATTATAAAGAGAATTAAATAAAAAAAAATAACTTTTACAGATACCTCCGAAGTTTGAGCTTCTAGCTCCGGATAGCTTCTGTTGCAACATTGTAGACCTAAGGGTTGTAAACATCATGGGAGACGGAGGTGTAGGATTTACCTTTACTTGGACTGTAACTAAAGGATCCACTGGAACTGGTAATCAATTTAGTTGTTATTTTATTCGTGAATGTCTGTTTACTGACAACTGTTTTATAGGATTCGGTGAATGTCTGTTTATTGACAACTGTTTTATAGGATTCGGTGAATGTCTGTTTATTGACAACTGTTTTAGAGGATTTGGCGAATGTCTGTTTACTGACAACTGTTTTAGAGGATTCGGTGAATGTCTGTTTACTGACAACTATTTTATATGATTCTGTGAATGTCTGTTTACTGACAACTGTTTTAGAGGATTCGGTGAATGTCTGTTTACTGACAACTGTTTTAGAGGATACGGTGAATGTCTGTTTACTGACAACTGTTTCAGAGGATTCGGTGTATGCCTGTTTACTGACAACTGTTTAGAGGATTCGGTGAATGTCTGTTTACTGACAACTGTTTTAGAGGATACAGTGAATGTCTGTTTACTGACAACTGTTTTAGAGGATTCTGTGAATGTCTGTTTACTGACAACTGTTTTAGATGATTCGGTGAATGTCTGTTTACTGACAACTGTTTTAGAGGATACGGTGAATGTCTGTTTACTGACAACTGTTTTAGATGATTCGGTGAATGTCTGTTTACTGACAACTGTTTTAGATGATTCGGTGAATGTCTGTTTACTGACAACTGTTTTATATGATTCTGTGAATGTCTGTTTACTGACAACTGTTTTAGAGGATTCGGTGAATGTCTGTTTACTGACAACTGTTTTTCCATTACAGATGAGTTGTTCCGACTGAAGGAAGACTTTCATCTATTTAATAGAAGATCCATCAGAGTTCCGATGAACTTGGCAAGTTTTATTAAACGTCTTATCACTAATGTAGAGTTTGTGGAGCTAATATTTTAAACAGTGTTCGGTTTTTGATTATATTATTGATCAAAATTAAATATCAAGTTTTAAACTGAGTGTTTAAACTCCAAGTTTGTTCTTTAGCTTTAAGATGTTACGCTGAACTTGAAAATCAAATAACTAAACTTATCAAATGAAGTCGAAAGAAAAACAAAACGATTTACTGAGTTTGGGGCTTCACACAAGGCTTTGTATCACAAGGAAAATGCGTTAATTTAGAGAACAGCTGTGTTACTGCTGGGTATGTTCTTTTTTTTTCACTTGTTTTTCTTTTTCATCATTGGGATTCGGTCCATGTTTTGGACCAGGTTCAGCGTTGACCTCTTCCTCCCTCTCTGGAATTGTTATTTTATTTGCACTGTTACTGAATCCTAGGTAATAACCCTTGTTACATTGTTGTTGCATTACTCACAGTATGTTAAATGAAGTCCATTGTACGTATCTTTTAATTAACTACCCTTTTCGTGCCACGTCCAATTCATGGGGTAATATTAACTTGTATATTTTCATTAGCTTCACTTATGTATGATCGCGCTATTAGAACGTGTTAACATACGGTTCTGTTTAGCTGTCATATATATACACACACACACATAATCCTATTTTTATATACAAAACTCTTTTAAAATAGAGCTGCTTTTATGTCTAAGATTCAGTTATCCTAGCACTGTTTGCCTATAAGTTTCTTATTTATGATGCTTAGAGAGGACAGGTACTTAGGGCTGGTTCATCATGTATTATGTAACTCTCTAGTTTGCTCATCATTTCATTTTTATTAATAGTTTTCTTATAATATTGAAGCGAGTTATCCAGAAGTCTGTCTGATAGAGTTGGCATTTTTGAATAGTTGTGTACAAAAACTGAGTTTATTGATTGTGAGACTCTATATGCCTTCGTTAAAATACAGTTTTTGTGTTTGCTGTAATTCACTTGTTTGGGGGACACAACATGGTTTTTTTTTCAGATTTTCGCGCAAAACTACACAGAAGCTACCGTATTTTTCGGTATATAAGACGCACTTTTTTTACCCCAAAAT